TTCTGGAAGCCACTCCGATTAAAATGCTGCCGCCTGCCACCTCCGTAGTACATGTAAAAACACCCAAAGGGGCCATCCTGCCCTCCCTTAAGGCATTAGAATTCACTGGAGTGCAACAATGGTCATTTAGAAAGTCTCAGGGTCATGCTGCATGATAAATGCACTTAACACACAAGTGTTCAAGCAATAAAACATGCATTGTGTGCTTGTATCATAGCAAAGTTATGATTTTTTTGCAGAAGAAGCATTTCCAGATAATATTAAATAACGTGTTCAGCTATCAGACTTCTCCATGGTGATAAGACGAGCAATTTGCAGTCCTCACCCCACTCCAGGTGAGATAAGGAGAGCCACATACATTAAGAGGAAGGATCCTGGATCTTTCACTTATCAGGATCCTCCAGAATCAGGTACCTGCAGCCCCAGAGGGTTCAAGGGCTGGGATCAACAATCAGATGATTGTTGGTCCTGGCCCTGGCACCTCTCCAGGGCCAGTTCAAGATTCCAGCTCAGTGTCGGGGCTGGGAGCCACAGTCAGTGAGCTGAGCACATTACGGATCACAGTAAACATTACCTTGCAATTTTAATACCACACAGATTTAACATGTGTTAAGCGTTTGTTCAATAAGACCCTTATAAAGCTGCTCTCTTTCTGTGCAACTGAAATGACGAGGATAGCTTCACGTGAGATGTCAAAAAGAAAATGTAGTAGAGATACAAAAGTTCCTGACAGAGGACACACCATGGTACCAAAAGGGGACAAAGAAGCAGGCAGATGGAAGGAAGGGTAGATGGAAGGAAAAAGAGTGTTAAGTCAAGAAGTCAAAGGTAAATAAAGTTTGCATTTAGAAACAAGACAGGAAGACAAAAGGAAATGTTCAAGAACAAAGAGGATACTCTTCAAGATCTCTTTCTGAAGCTAAGACAGTCTGGTCAAAACTGTCCCCATCTAACCTATTTCTAATAAAAAATGACAAGTTAGTTACTAGGGTTGCAGAAGTTTAAACGATTTATCGTTTAAATGATAACTGCAGTGATAACTGGGTAGCTTACTGGTTATCCTTTAGTTCAGGGGCTGGGCATCATGGCAAAGAAGTGGGGAAGGGAAGCCATGCAATGCCCTAGCAGGAATCAGAAAGCAGCAGGGCAGGTAGGAGGGGCAAGGCCTAGTGATGATTCATTAATTAAGCAATTATCTGCTGGTTCACAGGTGCTCCCTCCCAGTGCAGGGATTCACCTGGGCTGTGTTGTTTGGCTTGGCTTGGCTGCTCCTCCCCCGCTCCACCCAGTCAAAGGGCCCCAGGAGTGGCTCCCAGAAGCAGCTATGGGAGCTGCTGTGTTATCGTTTAACCGACAGAATTAGAGGAGGTTAAACAATTAATTTAAAAACAATATTTACATCCCTATTAGTTACCGAGCAGTAACATGCTTGTTTAATCCAAACCATGTCCCGAGTGAGGATATCAGATAACATGCAGTTTAGCTAGATGCAGTTAAACTGATCTGCCACAAAGAAAAGGGTATGAGACTGAAACAGAAGAAAGTGCATACAACGAAAAAGATCAAAGAGGTGATGTACAAAGTAAGATGCACAAAAACCTATCTTGGCTCCCAAAATTAAACAACTTAATGTAGCCGTTTCAACCAGAAGACTGGCATGGGATACAAAGGCTACAGTTAGTTGGTCCCCCCATTCCCGAAATGAATGTACAGTGTACAGCACAACAAACTGATAGGACAAATAAATAATCTGCAATGCACAGGAATGTTTTAGATGACCTTCAGAATAATATGAAATGGCTTTTTCTTTTAGATCAGAGCTGATGTGCTCCAAGTCACAAGACAGAGTAGCTGGTTTTCCCCTTGCCAATACTTTGAGAGCACAGTGGAGGTCCACCCTTTATTTCTGCATATCTGTTCTCACAGATAATAGATATGATAAGTAAGTAAAATGAATGAATATCAACAGCTGCTACCAGTTTATATCAATGTGATTTTACTGTCAGATGTAGACTATTTTTCATTCAAATGTGTAACAGTGAGAAAATGTGAAGAGAAGATTAAATGAACCAAGATGACAACAGGAATTGCACAGAATCCCTCTGGAAAATAAACTCTAGATTTGAAAACAAAAAGGCATTGTCTCAAGGTAACATTTGAATGAACAAACACTAACCAGAGACACTGAAGAGCCCAGTTACTGAATCTGAGCATGAACTGGATTGGAAACAGTAGGATTCCAGGTTGCTGTTAAAAATTAAAAATACAAAAAAAAACAAGAGTATATACACAGCACCCTCATATTTAGATGACAAAGCTCCAATACTTACTCTATAGAGAGGTTTTGTTACACACGCATGCATGGACAGAATAGTTGCCAGACATGTTACAGAATTATACACTGAATATTGTTTTAACAAGCTTGTAAGACAGTGTCCAGAACAAACTGCTTTAACAATGAAAAACATTTCCCTTGTCCAGAGGTATTTTAGCAGAAATGTGGGGGGTCCGTCTACAGAGCAGAAACTTCCCTTTCAGATTTTTTTTTTAAAGATGTTATGCTGCATACAGTAGCAAGGCTAAAATTGCAAAGTAATAGTAATAAATCTGTAAGACAGGTTTATTAAATATGTTAATTACTAAAAGACCAATCAAAGCATAAGATATGGAACATCTTTTAGGATTAGGAGCGCAGAACTACAGAGTCCTTTTTGGTGCCATAATCCAGTCCCATGGCATCATCAGCAAATGGGTCATTTAAATCTCATTCATAAACTTAAATATTTTGAGAGATTACACTTGTCATAGTGGAAAACGGTTTAGCCTATACACACCTGCTTGCCGGTAAAACCCTGACAAATGATCTTGGTATCTTTATTGATATAAAGATTTTTCCGTGTGGCTGAATAGGAACTATGTCTTACTCCATTCGGTTGCACTGGAGGAAAAGGAGAGAAAGAGAGCAAAATATTAAACTTGAACATTACCAAAACTTTACTTGATTCTTCTACAAGGCCTTACACATAATAATGCACTAGGCCACAAATAACCCCTTGAAGTTGGCAAGTAAGCCATGGTATGACTACATCCAGGAAGGAACAGAAGCCCAATATTCAGAGATGCCATGCCTGCGTAGCACCTGCTGACTGCATTAGGAGCTGCTGGTGCTCGGCATGTGTACAGCGGACCATAAATGCCTTATGTTAGGCTTCCAATATCAGCACCACCACTTCCCACACACTTTTTTTTTTTTTAAATGATCCATGACTTACTTGAGGTTTCAGAGAAAGGAACAGGCCCTGATATTCAGGAATCCTATTTATTTCATGCAGACACAGCATCACTTCCATACCTAAGCCAGTCTGAAGCATCAAGCATGTTGAACCACTCCTTAGCAAAATAGTACTTCCAAGCAATATTTAGATAGACCTACCTTCCAACTACAGCCTAGCTGCTGGGGCTCAGAAACCACAAAGATAAAAAATACTTGGACCCCTAAACCCCACTAATCCCCCGACTGACCAGTGACTCCAATCACTAGCAGTTTCCATCTAATGCCCCAAAAACTGTTTAACTGTTTTCTTCCCTACTGCTTCCAACCCCTTAAAAATATACAACTAAAGGAGATTAAGAGCACAGAGCATGCCAAATGACAGGAAATAAGATTCACGGTCCCTCTATTGAAAACGTAAGATATTATTGTGTTACTAATTAGCAAGACTTACATTTCACATTCAAATAAGCTACACAGGGGGTCAGGAGAGATTTAATTATTTAATTTCCATCTCCCCTCTTCCCCCAAGGGAAAAGAAAAAAAAAAAAGCTTGATACATCCTTTTGTCAAAATTAGTTTCAGTTCATCTCTAGGACTGACTCTGGTGATGATGACTTTCATTTCCATGACATACTTGGAGTATTTTACACATTTATTGTTGCATTGGTTCAGTAGGTGAGTGCATCCTTCCACTCTATAGCACAGGTAATGAGTTTGTTACTCTAGGAGTAGGGCTGCCGAGACGAGTATTCATCAGATGAAAATTACAAGCATAAGAAAAAAAAAATGTTGAGGGAATCAGACTTTATGGAGGGGGGGAAGTAGAAGCTTAAAAAAAAATCCCCCCCAAAATTCAAACAGACTCTAGATAGTCTCTCAAGTTTGATCAAGATGACACTCAAGCACGTGCGTATACGAGCTACTGTCCTTAGATGGAGAAAGGAAAAAGGAGCCACACATTTACAGGTCATCCCCACTACTGGCTGAAAAACACCCTCTATACTTCAACACAAAGGCCTATGGCAGGATCCCTGCATGTGTCCATTTGTTTCAGACACATTACTAACAAGTGAGGATAAGAATGCTGCAAGGTTTGGGGTTTTTTTAAATGATTTTTGTTAAGTGTATAAAAATTAGACGCATGCCATTCCCGAAAGTCATGAACTTATGAAGTTATAAACTTATTGTTTCGACAATGAAAGTACAGGGGCAGCAATCCTTCTAAGATATTTCCTGGAAAAGCTTGGAGAAGGTGTGCACTGTGTCCATTTGCCTAGTTAGGCTAAACTAGTTGTAAGACTGAACCAAAGGTTCAAAGTAGCCTGTTAACTTAAATCCTTATATCCTAGTGTTAAAATCAGCCACGTCCATGCTTCTGTTTTTTGCATATCTGAAAAGTAGTGAAGAACTATAAAAGCATATGCCTGGCCAATTTTCACACACAATACAATACCAGTCAATTTCCAAGGAGCTATGCTTAAAAAAAAAAAGTACAGAAGGTTTAGCCAATCACTAACAACATGCAGTTAAATACAATTTTAAAGGGAAACTCGTATGAAAGGGCATAGTACACACATTTATGACAGAACTGCCATTAGAGAGATATGTCAGATTTTCACAGTCAGAGAGACTTGGCAACATTTTAATCCAACAAGTTTTCTCACTTGAATAATATCTGCGAGAAACAATACAGAAGCAAGTATTGCTAGAAATAATTCTTAATGTTACAGAATAGTCTTTAAAATGAAAGAAAGTAAAGTAAAACAAGTATATGCTTATAGGAGGTTCAAAACATACTGAATAACGAATTGTGGTTACAGGTAATCTTTACAGCTAAGGACAGAAGTTGCACACAAACCAGTTTAACTGATCAAAAACTGGTTTAAACCTGTAGCAGAACAGAAGTTCATGAACAGAAACCGGTTTCAAAAAGGCCAAGCCAGTTTATGGGACTTCTGTCCCAGACCGTACAAGACTAGAAATGATTGCTATTTGTGTGAACTTCAGTTTAAGACTGTTTTCTGTCACAAAAAAGGACAAACCACATTGTTGTAAGCAAGTAAATAAGGGTCCACACATACAATTGTGGACTCCAAGACAAACATGAGTCGTCAATGTGATGAAGTGATCAACAAGGCTAACCACACTTTATCATGCATTAGCAGGTACATGACGAACAGGTCCAGGGAGGTGATGCTTCCCCTCTCTGCGGCGCTGCTCAAGCCAAAATTGGAGTATTGCGTCCAGTTTTGGGTGCCACACTTCAAGAGGGATGCGGAGCATCTCGAGGGTCCAGAGGAGGGCCACTCATACGGTTGGGGGTCTGTAGGCAAGGCCCTACGAGGAGAGACCGAGGGACCTGGATCTCTTCAGCCTTCGCAAGAGAAGGCTGAGAGGTGACCTTGTGGCTGCCTACAAATTCAAATTGGGGAGGGCAGCAGGGAATAGGAGATGCTCTATTTACTAGGGCATCCCCTGGGGTAACGAGAAACAATGGCATTAGAAAGAGCTCCTTCACAGTAAGGGTTGCCAGGCTCTGGAACGGGCTCCCAAGGGAGGTGGTGCTCTCCCCTACCCTGGGGGTCTTCAAGAGGAGACCGGAGAAGCACCAGGCTGGGTTCTATGAATCTATGAATTTCACTGTTTAATACCAATTCAGTTATGCCAGTGAAACTTTATTTAGATCAGACCTAAGTGCATTTGAATCTGCACATGTATGAACACTGCCAACATCCCCAGTACAAAGAGAGATCCTGGACATTTCAGTACTGCATATAACCTCCAACTACAGATGTTTAAGACTGGTGTTTATGCATGCCTGTTAAGGACTGCTGAGCTTCCTAGGATGAGAAGTAACTGCCATATGTGATCTGTTCAATGCAAGTCTCAACTATATGACATTTCAATATCGACAATGTGTCCAAGCTTTAAAACAAAGTGTTCTCACAGCTTGCTTGCTTTCTTTAGCACAACACAAAGTCCATTTCAATCATAAGTTTCAGTAATTTAGTTTGTTTGATCAAAGCCTTGTGACAAACAACCAAGTTTATTTTATTACAGTGTCATGATAGCAATTCCACAGTTAAGGGGCTTACAGGTTTCATGATAGTTTGAAAGCTAAATGTCAGATTCTCAGCCCTATATTATATAAATATATATATTAAAGTGAAAAAGAAGAGCTTGCAAGCCTTTTTCCAAGTTATTCAAGTATGAAGAGAGATACACTTGGCAATCCTTTCCAAGGCAGAGCACAGAACAACCTCTAATGCAAAGCCAGCTTAAATTCCAAGCTTTTTGTGGATTTAATCCAGGAGTGCATGCTTTTCACATGGCTGAAGAAATATGGTTTAAAAAGGGAAAAAAGAATAGAAAAGAAACAGCTGTTTGAAAAACTGTGGTTCTGCATCTGAGCAGTTAGATGTCTGGGGAGCCATTCACTTCAGAATAAGTGAAAAAAGTCACTTTATCCTACCTGTGCCCACAAAATATAAAAAAAAATAAAAATCATCGATATGTTATAAAATGGCTCCATGTTTATAGTTTTCCATGCCTGTCTATACTGAAAAAGTTTACCAAAGATTGCCACTGATTATTTTATTGGTTGGGACTTCTACCCACACTGTAATTAAAGACTGGAGTTTTGCGGTATGAGATTTACAGAAAGAGAGTTTGTGCTACAAGCAGCTGGCAGGATAGATGACGGAAACAGAGAACTGCAATGATGCATCTAAATTCACAGGAGGCGAGGAGCAGGCCTAGGAATAGAAGCCAAGGAACAGAAGTCCCAGTGAAGGCCTTCATCCACTAACTAAGCCACACCACCTGCCTCTGAGCAGGTCTAATCAACTGCATGGGAGAAGTCAGGATGCCTCCATGCAAGTACAACTAACCTTTGTGGAGTATAGCAAAACTCTTCTCCCATTACCAGGCTTCAGCCTTGTGTTAGTAAGTGTCAAATCCATTCTTCACAAATGCATACCTGCAGTTTATTCACAGTGACAGCAGTTCAACTTGGACTGGAAACCTTAGCCTTTGACCACTGATATCAGAGATGAGTGCTGCCTGCACTGTTCACTTTTATTTGGGAGAAGGAGAAGGGGGCTTAAACTGTGAAATCATAGGTGGCAGGCATCCATCCATCCATCCATCGAGACAACAGAAATGTGCATCTCGCTGGACATCTGGGAGTGTGGCTGTAGAGCCCCCTCTGAAATCAAAGCTATGAAAATAGCCTATTTCAGCCAGATTGCTTCTCTGAGCCTTTAAAACCTACATCAGTGGTTCTCAATCAGGGTGTCCGGGGGTTTCCCCAAGATCCTTTGAAGGGTGCCATGAGCTGTGAGGAGGGAAGGTAGGGATGAAGTAGATAAGGGCAGGATCAAGCTTAACCTGCCTGGTTGTTCCCCTGCCCCCATTGCCCAGCCCCTCTGCAAGGAGGTAGGCACTGTAATAAATAAGATTGTTTTTGAAACGAGGTGCTGCTCAATTCACAAGTTATGGAGGGCTGCCTCGAGTCTAAAAAAGACTGAAAACTACTTGTTGCTATATATGGTTTTATTATATAGACCATGGGATAATTTTGCTGCTGTGCACTGAAAAACCAAATGAAATAAATATGAAGCAAGCATGAGAAATACCCCAGGATCAAATCACACTTCAAGTTGGTTTGAG